ATCGGAGCATGAAGCTAATGTTTACTCACAATGCTAATGCTAACCTTACCCTCTTCCACTCAAGAGGTAGAGGAGCCAAATGCTCACTGCTGCCAACTAGTGGTCAGAGGCTGAACTACAACATAAAAATGAACGGCTGGCAGGAAAGTTGACATTTTAAACCTTAATAAAAAATCAATACAGGGCTTTAGAATATTGATACAATATCGGGAAATTAAATATCGCGATATTTCAGTGTATCGATATTTTCTTACACCCCTATTTCTTAAAAAAACTCATGTATCCAACAACACGTTCTCTTGCAATTCCTTTTTTGTTTAAACCCTTTGAAACTTGAGACAGTTTTGGTTCAATTTTAAACTTCAATTTACAAGTTTGCCCTTAATGTATATAATTTTACCAATGCACCAAGTTAGAATTAGTTTCTACCATTTACAGAATTAGTTCCTTTGAGAATGTCTAATATCAAATTAAATGTGTTACTGCATGATATCGCAACTAATTTAAAAATCAGTCAAACTGAATCGTGACTCGTCCTGAATCGTTGTGTATCGTTGTAAATTGTGAATCGAATCGATTTGGGAAATCTAAATCCATACCCAGCCCTAATAGTAGTGTATGTGTGCCTGGAGAAAGTGTTTGATAATAACAATGAGACATTTCAGAGCAAAAGAAATAGTTTGTCACACTGTTCCTGTTAGAGATGGGTGATGGATCAAATCTATTCAAAATAGAAAGTTTTCCCTTGTCAATATCAAAAATGACAATATCGCAAATATCAAATATAAATTTTAACTATCTTTAACTGTCTGCAGTGCATTCAGTTAACTAGCTTTTCCCAGCTTCTTCAAATGCATCATCGTTCACTTTCTCTCCTATCCTGAAAATCCCAGCAGCAGGTTCCTGCTTCCTTCCCATCCACCACTCATCTAAAAAAAACCTGCAGCTGTCASTGTGTTTATGTTTCAAAAGCAGGGGAAATAATAGCTAGTGAACATTCAAAGATGGTAAATGAGTGGTGTGTTTCTGAAGAAAAACTGCGCAGCGTCTTTCATCTGCAGATGTTCTGGATTTATCAAGAAAGACATTGTAAAAAAACAGCTTCATTACTGGAATTGGCTTGATTGTTTTGATGGTGATTTCCTGATTTATACGTTTTAAAGAAGTCAGTTTATTGACATCAGATTAACACATGGTCGATAGGTGTCAACACTGTCAAACTGAAGTTATGTGAGTCGGCGGATGAGCTTTTTTAGTTGGAGTTTCAAAGAAGGGAGTTGGTCATTAATGTCATCATCAAACTGTAAGTTTTGTTTTGCTAACAGCTTTATTTTGGCTTGTGCACCTCTGTCTCATTTCCTGTCTAAGTTTGTTTGGAGCAGAGGCCATGCTTTAACACTGCAGTGTCCAGCTTTGGCCCTCGAGGGCCACTATCCTGCTCCAACACACCTGATTTGAATGAACAGGTGATTAACAGACTTCTGCAGTACTTAAAAAATAAATAACATGTAAATAAATAACATGAAGGATAGTCACCCCCTGCTTTAACATATAATTTTGCAATTAAAAAACATTTAATTTATTGGTTGGTTAATTTATTGCCTGGTTGTGTCATGTTTTGTTAAGCTGGTGATATTTTTGTACTTTGTACTTGTGATTTCAAACAAAATGAAGCGACAACAGATTGCTTAAACAGAAAAATAAATGTATAGCATGAGTGTCTGAACAAAAGACAATTTGTGTGAGTTGCCACTACTGATGCTGAGAGCCTTTAAATAATTCTGTTTACAAATAATAAAATGTGTCGGTAAGCAGTAAATAGCTGCTGAGTGACGTTAGCATTAGCCTCGGTTAGCRTGCTGCTGTGTCGGCTCACATTTTTATCAACTACATTTACTGTAGCATGTAATGAGTTAAATATACCTCATTGGTAGCATGTAACGAGCTTCAAGCACTTTACGCACAAAAAATACTGTAATTTTTTTCAGAGACGTTTATTTATTATTATTATTATTATTATTATTATTATTATTTTGGTGGGGGTGTTGTGTCGGAAAAAAGCACTGTTAGGTCCCCTACCAGGTGCCGGTGTAAAATACATGGTCGAATTATTGAACTGAATGTACTACTTTTAAAAATACTTCGAAAATTCAAAGAACACTCAAATATATTCGTATTAGAAATACAAACACATTATAAGCACACAGACAGTGGTGGAGCTGGAGTTGAATGAAGACCCGAGGCGCTAACTCCGTTACCCTCTGAAGACGAATAAACGTACCTGGTCTGTACACTTGAAGACTGGAGTTGAAAATCGGATCCAGTATGTTGTTTTGTTGCTCCTTCTCCAGTTCAAAATCTACATTTGTCCTTTTAATAAGCTCCATTTCCGAAACAGTCCGACATCCAATCTCCGTTCGACCTGCTGTTTCCACTTCTCTGCCAGGTTTTGTCCGTCGAAGGTTGAAAACTCACGAACCCAAGAAGGTATAATTATTGCAAATAGTGCATACATTTTAAAACCCGTTTAAGAGTACAGCAAATTGAAGATTCGTTTGTTTTTGGAGAACTTCCTGTCCAACTTTTCTTCTGGTGACATTTGTGGTGAAGCGGGGTTAGTTTCTCAACAGCGACGCCTGCAGTTTAAGAGGTGAACTGCAGGAAGTTCATCACGTCTGAAGATTTTGTATAATCAGTCTTTTATACTGGTCAGTTATACAATTGATACAATTAGGTATGACGTTACCTTCTGGCAAATCTTTAAACATTAGGTTACATGAAACGATAAATGCAAGGTGTCCTCAAACAGTGAGGCATAGCAGGGGATCTATGTGCATCTTGAAAACTTTGAATGTTGTATTATTTTTTTAAAACATGATTTTAACTTACGATTACCATTAGAAAAAATAGGTTCAGTCACAAATAGAAGTCGAAAAAATGTTTGTGTGTTTTGGATGGATAAAGCAAATCATTGTCAAGCTGCAAATTCTGTTTTACAATTCTCCCTATTTGAATGCAAACCAGTAATCCAGTTTTTTTTTTAATATAATGAAAGAACCAAAATACAATGACACTTTTTGAGGGATTTATTAGGCAAAAATTTACAAATACATTCACTCAAAAATATCCTTCATTAAAAATGTTAAGATAGTAAAGAACGTGCCAGAGATTTAAACAGCTTACTTTGATCACATGCAGTTTAAAATCATCACACTTTAAAAATAAAGTTTTGGAGGAGAAACAAAGAAGCATAAATAACAAGAATATAAACAATTTGTATAAAAACAGTTCCATTAAGAAAGCAAAGTTATTACACAGTAAGGGATGATGTAGTTTGCTTCTTCAGACTTTGAGTACAAATGAAGATGTGAAACTAGTCTGAGTTTGTACAATATTTCAGAACCAAAACCCAAYATTTCATGCCAATCTCAAGAGTCAGACTCATCTGAAGCACCTTTAAGACCAAGCATGTTGGAGAGACTCAGGGCCAATTTGGCATTTTCATCTGTCACAGAAGCATCCGGAGCCACAAGGCCCAACTCAGACTTTGGTTTTTCGATTTTGAAGGTTCCTCCTCTGATCACGGAGGAATTTCCTCCATCTAGACTTGYGGATTTAACTACTTTTTCCTTTGACATTTTCAATCTATCCAGGATGCTAATCTTTTCCACAGATGTTTGAGCTGTATTGAGTATTGGGAGTCGAATCCCTTTGCTGACTAGAAAATCCTTATCCTCAATGCCTTGTTTTGTTGAGCTAAATAAATCAGTGTCTTCAAGGCCATCAATGGAGCGTCTGGGCGTTCTATGGAACTTGAATAGTGGAAAGTCTCCCTCAACATTTGGTGAATCATCTGCTTCAAGATCTGCGCTGGCATTAATCTCTTCAGCTTTCTCCTTCGACCCTAAAATGTTCAATTTTGGTAACTTGATATGTGGTAGTTTAGACTTCTCAAGATTAGAGTCTACTTTTGGAGCTTTGATGTCTATGTTGGGTCCTTGGGCACTGCCTTCTAATTTTGGTGCATTCAATTCTACTCTAGGAACAGAAACGCTGGCATCAGTTTTGACTTTGGGAACCTCTATTCCGGCTTCACCCGAGGAGTGAAGGCTGGGAATCTCTGCCTTAGGAGTTGAAAGATCGAGTGCTGGAACCTTGAAATGAGGCATTTTAAAGTCACCAAGGTCAGTATCTAAACCTAAGTTAGGAGATTTCCCTGTGACATCTGGCGCTTCCAGTTCAGCTTTTGGAAAACTGGCATTTAACTTTGGTGCTGAGAGGTTTTCATTATATTTTGATGAAGACAAGCTGAGATCTGCATTTGGTAGATCCAAACCAGCCCCCTTTACATCAGTTTTAGGTAAGTTAACTTCCAAGTCTGGACTTTTAAGTTTTGGAGTAGAAAGATCTGGTAAGGCCATGTTAGTTTTAGGAGCTGAAAGACTGAGGTCTGTATTAAGATTTGTGTTTACATCACGATCTGGACCACTGAGAGCTCCTTGAAGTTTGGGAGCTGATAGATGTAAAYCTGGTGCTTCAAACTTTCCATCAGGTGCTGAGAGGTTTGCTTTGGGCAGTTTTGCATCGACATCTGGAAGAGAAAGATCTAGCTCTGGATTTTTCAGGTCAGTATCTACATCAAGCTTTGGTCCTTTTACTTTTTGCCCTGAGAAATCTATCTTTGGCATTTTCAGTTTTGGTAGCTTATTTTTTCCAGTTGGGGTACCCAGTTCTGGTGTTTGAATGTCCAYATCTGCTTTTTGTAAATTGAGGCCAAGATCCGGTTCTTCAAATCCAGCATTAATTTTTGGTGCTTTTAGCTCTATATTGGGTACATCCACATCAGCTTTAGGCAAGTCAAGATTGGCATTTAGCTCTGGTGCTTTAAAGTTAGCATCCAGTTCTGGTTCCTTCACTTTGGGCCCTTTMAGGTTTGGAAATTTTAATTTAGGAAACTTCAACTTAGAGTCAGCTGGGTCTAGATCAACATTTGGACTATTAAGGTCAACATGTGGTCCTTTGAGGTCAGGCGTTGCAACGCTGAGGTCTGGAGTCTCAAGCTTGCCATCAACCTTTGGCACTGAAAGATTAACATCTGGTGTATTCAGATCCAAATTAGGCCCTTTGAGGTCTACATCTGGTCCTTTTACACCGGCATCAATGTCAGCCTTTGGTGCTTTCACTGTGCCAATTTTAGGTTTTTTGAAATTGAACCATTTGGGTTTTCCAGCATGCACTTCTGGAGCATCAACATCTAACTTCGGGCTATTAAGTTTTGCTTTTGGTGCTTTTATATTCAAGTCTGGTGTGTTTATCTTACCATCAATTTTTGGAGCCGACAGATTCAAGTCAGGGGCTGATAGATCAGTATCTAAATCAAGATCACCGTCAATTTTTGGTCCAGAAAGGTCAACATTTGGTGCATTCAAATCCAAATTAGGCCCTTTGAGGTCTACATCTGGTCCTTTCAGATCAGCATCAATGTCAGCCTTTGGTGCTTTCACTGTGCCAATTTTAGGTTTTTTGAAATTGAACCATTTGGGTTTCCCAGCATGCACTTCTGGAGATTCAACATCTAACTTGGGACCATCAAGTTCTGCTTTTGGTGCTTTTAGGTTGACCTCCGGTGTGTTTAGTTCACCATCAATCTTTGGTGCTGACAGATTCAAGTCAGGGGCTGAAACATCAGCATTTAAGTCAACATCGGGACCATTTACCTTTGGTTTAGAGACTGACATCTTTGGCTTTTTAAAAGTGGGCCATTTAATCTTCCCAGACGGAGAATCAATGTCTACACCTGGAGTTTTAATGTTGGCATCAACTTTGGGTAATTTCAGGTCGAGATCCGGTGAATCAATCTCACCATCAACCTTGGGTGCTGAAAGGTTAACATCTGGTCCATCAACATCACCTTTAGGGCCATGAAGTTTGGGTTTTTTCCACTTCAGGTGAGGCCAATTGATTTTTCCTGAGGAACCATCAACATCAAGATCTGGAGCATGAACATCTACATCAGGACCTGTGAGGTTAGTTTTTGGGATATTTAGTTCAGCTTCTGGTGCATTAAGTTGCCCTTTGACATTTGGAGCTGAGAGATTCAGATCAGGTGTGTCAATATCTCCATCCATGTCTACGTCTGCTTTTGGACCRTGCAGTTTAGGCTTTTTCCATTTCAAATGAGGCCAGTTGATTTTACCAGATGGAGAGTCTACGTCCAGATCTGGGGTTTGTATATCCATTTCAGGACCTTTGATGTCTGCCTTTGGCAAGTCAAGCTTTGGGGCACGGAGCTCACCCTCTACTTTTGGAGCAGAGAGATCAAGATCAGGAGTATCAATGCTTGCATCTAAATCCAGATCATTTTTTGAACCATGAAATTTTGGTTTCTTCCACTTCAAATGAGGCCAGTTGATTTTACCTGATTCCATGTCAAGATCAGGGGTCTGAACATCTACATCAGGGCCTTTAAGGTCAGCTTTTGGCATTTTAAGGTCAACATTGGGTGCACTCAGATCACCATCAATCTTTGGTGTGGAAACCTTGAGATCGGGTGCTGAAAGGTCTGCATTAAGATCAGCATCTGGTCCTTTAACTTTAGGACCTTTCCATTTTAAATGAGGCCAGTTGATTTTACCTGATGGGGCATCAATGTCAAGATCAGGGGTCTGAACATCTACATCAGGACCTTTAAGGTCAGCTTTTGGCATTTTAAGGTTAACATTGGGTGCACTCAGATCACCATCAATCTTTGGTGTGGAGACCTTGAGATCAGGTGCTGAAAGGTCTGCATTGAGGTCTGCATCTGGTCCTTTAACTTTAGGGCTTTTCCATTTTAAATGTGGCAAATTCATTTTGCCTGAAGGGGCATCAATGTCGAGATCAGGGGTCTGAACATCTACATCAGGACTTTTAAGGTCAGCTTTTGGCATTTTAAGGCCGACGTTGGGTGCACTCAGATCACCATCAATCTTTGGTGTGGAAACCTTGAGGTCAGGTGCTGAAAGGTCTGCAGTGAGGTCTGCATCTGGTCCTTTAACTTTGGGACCCTTCAGTTTGAAATTTGGCAAATTCAATTTGCCTGAACGTGGGTTAATATTAGCATCAGGGCCATTCAGATCTACCTTTGGTGCCTTCAAATCTAAATCTGGACTTTGAAGATCTAACTTGGGACCTGACAGATTGAGGTTTGGTTCTTGTACATTTCCACTGAAGGAAGGCAGAGCTACATCTCCAGATACGTCCACATCTGATTTGGGGGTTTTAATCTGAGGAAGATTAAATTGTGGCATTGTGAACTTTGGGACATTGTATTTACCCCCCTTTATGGATGGTTTCTCAATGTCAAGGGAAGCATTTGGTGTCTTTAACTCTGGAGTTGAGACACTGGTGTTTGGTGCTTTAAGATTGCCACCTACATCTGCTTTTACTTCTGGCCCTGTCAGTCCTGCAGAGGGCATTTTTACTGAACCAAAATCAGCTGAAGRTTTATTTAGGCTGAGTTTGGGAAGGTCTCCATTGAGGGTGGGGCTTTTTATTTTACCACCAAGTCCGGGATCAGTGTTCAGATTTCCACTAAAGCCATTAAGGGCAACAGTCGGTGCCTCAGCTGATGCATCCAATGAGAGGTCCTTTTGTAGCAACTGTAAAACAAAAATTTTTAGATGTAATTTAATATTAGCATTTTACAGGAAGATGTTTTGTTTTTATTCTTTCAGCCCTAAATTTGGATCCCCATATTAAGCTTTTTGCACTATTTATATTAAAAGGGATCGCCCCACCCAAAATATAAAAAAAAACCTTGTCTTGTTTTTGATGACATATTTAAATTGCTTAACACCATGCATTAAATTGAAAAACCTTGCTAGTCTCTACTGCAATTGGATGACGACAAAATCGAAGACCATGTTCACTCTGCAGGTGTTAATTCTGAATTTTTTTGAAAAAATAAATTAAATCAGATATTTTGGCATGTACRTTCACATTATTTTAAATGTGATCTCCAGACTCCAGTGTGAACTTTGAACTCTACACGGCACTGATGTGACCCGCATGCGCAAAAAAAAAAAAAAAAAAAAGATATGTCACATTCAGATTATTATTTACAGAATTAGATAAACATGGATGCTACTTGTTAGCATGTCAATTCTGAAGTTGTGCGATCAATGCAGATTAATCATTAATAAAAAAAAAGTTGGATTTAGATCACATTTTCCTGCAGTGTAAACAGAGCCTAAGGCACTTGTAAAGAGTACAATATTAAATTTAAATAAAGTTTGCCGAGGCTTAGACTGTGACACTCACCCCTGTAGGGTCTTTGAACCCCAACCCCAAAGGACCAAGTCCAGCACTGGCACTTAAATCCTTCTTTGTCACAATCTTCAGGTTGTTTTCGTAGGGTTTCAGGGCCTCCAGGATGGTATGTACATCATTTTGGTCAAGGTTGCATAGATTTATGGTGGCTGCTACAACTTCATCTTCTGAAACCATAAGGAACAATGTTGAATCTTTAAACTGTAAATACTCACTAGAGTTTCTAAAAGCTCCATAATTTTTAAACAYAATTAAACATAATTTTTTATAGGTTTGCAAGGTTTTTTTCCTCACCAGTTTGCAGTCCAGCTTTGGCACCAAATGATTCATCTGCATTCCCTAGAAGAGAGAGTCCATTCCCAGATCCATCCAGAGCCAGGCTTCCTGACACACCYGCACTCTTGCTTCCTCCACTCTTTATGGGAAAAGATAGAAAACAAGAAAAAGTCAGGTTTGAACGTTTTCACATTTCCATCAAAACATTATGTATGGTTTATATTTTCAATCAGGCTTAAGTTTTGACCTACAATCATTAACCGTTTTAAGGGCTGGTTCCAAGTACTTACCATTATTCTGTGCTTGTATTTACGCCCACATGTCAAGGAATAAATGCAAAATGCAAAAGACCATGGGAACGTCACACTACAGCAAAACGATCTGTAAAACAGCAAAAAGGAAAATGTGTCAGTTTGTCAGAAGCTTATCACAGTGCACAAGTCTGACAGCTATTTGAGTTTTTGCTAAATAAATTAATAGTCACATTTTTTTAAATTATTGTCAGTCATTTTTATAATTTAACTTGTTTTAGGCTTTTGGTTGCTTTTGGTTTAATTTGCTACAAATTGCCACATCTCAAATTCATAAAGGTTATGTACTGTACATTTGTACCTCAAGAGTTAAAAAAGCTTGATCTAATGAGCCATTGATGATCACTTTTTTAAAGTAAATTTCAGCCAATGTTCATATTCTTTGGAACTCTATGCTCTGTCTAACTTGTTTACTAGCTTTTAAAACTTTGACTACAAATATAAAATCTGATTGTTTCTTTCCATTGTCRCATTTTATGTTGTGCTTGGGTAGAGATTACACTGAAAGATTTGATCCAGTCTGCTGGTTTGTTTATAAAGACATTTTTACAACATTTTGTAATATGAATCTGATTGTACTGCATTTAAAACAGAACTGACTGTTACACCAGAATCAGTTTAGGACTGAATTGAGTTCAGTTTAGTGTTTGGACTTGTTATTTTGTGCAGTGCTCTAACATGACTACAGTTGTGAATCTGTGTTATAAAAATAAACTNACTATATAATGTAAGATTGTTAAAATAATGAGTTGAATACAGTGAATATAATGTTTGACTAATTATTTTAAAAAATATTACCATTCTCACTGCTGCTACTATATTTTACTACAAACAACRATTCATAATGCAAATTAAAGCCCTTTTTTTGTGAGTAAATCACATTTGTGTTGCTGGTTTGTGGTACTTCATGCATATTTCCAAATCCTTCCAAAAATATAAGAATGATAACTAAAAATTATGCAACAACATTTTCTTTTACCACTTCATCTTTCATGAAATATAGCTTTTTTAATGTCCTCTCAAATCTTTGTAATGAATATAATTTCAGACCACATGAAGTCACACATTTATCAAACCAGCTGCAAAGAAACATTCAGACCTAACTAAATGTTTGTCATTGCAGTTTGTAGGTCTCTAGTGAGGGCTCAGTTGGTCCTGCCTGTGTACATCCATCTCCACCTGCCTACATTCTCTGATGCTGACTGACGGAGAAACAACACCACCCAAAATGTTTCATGCTGAAGGAATCCAAAACACCTCCCAGGTTTGGAGAAGGGAATGTGCACAGCCAAACCTGTTGGTTTGGATTCATGCTGGCTAACACACACACACACACGTTCGTTCGTTTCTCGACCCCGTTGGGACCTTCCATTGACTTCCATTCATGTTTTTTCAGAGACTTTATAGCCTAACCCTGACCATATACTCTAAAATTAATCTCACAGGTACCAGACCCTAAAACTAACCTAAACCTAATCACACACACGTAACATGCATTTGGACCCGTGGGGACCTGGGATTGGTCCCCACAATTCACTTCAGTCCCCACAAGGCTGCTTTTTTGGTTAAAAATACCCACGTTGTAGGAAAAACCTGTCCACACACACACACACACACACACACACACACACACAGCCCTCCCTTGGACCACACCTTAGCTTTTTCAAACGTAAAGGCTAAAAGCATGGATAGCTGCATTGATAAACTCGGTGCAGGAGCCTTGCAGCATTGTGCCCAAGCTCTCAAAAAATTTAACACCAAGGATGACTACTTCAAACAGTATTCAAAGTACTGTCATTTCAAATAAATGGTAAAAAAATAAGACTGTTAATTTTAATCTATTCATTATTAAAGAAACCTCAAGCAGAAGAATCTTATCCTCCAAGAGCACACTATTAAAACAACTTGTTAACCTGCGGTCCTAACCTAAATTAATTTAAGTAACCTTGAAAACTTTGGAGGAGTACATTCACAAGCAGTCTCCACGTAAAGCTGTCAATTTGAATTTTTAACTTCAGTCATTTTTGGAAGTAAAAATGCAATATAACCATTAAATAAAAAAGGAAACATGGATTGGAAACACAGCTGTGTAGTCAGAATGAAGATCAGAGCTCATTGATGGCCRATTCTAGTCAATCATTCATGTGTTCTACGGACAGATGATCTTGCCACACATTTTGGGCTCTGGAGAGTTTATAGATCAATCCAGTTGGTCAAAAGGGTGTCAATTGGAAAAAAAGACAACCAATCCAATTGTTTGAACAGTGTTTTCTGCAAATTCAAAGTCCCTGGTAGGCTATTACGAGGGAGGAACCACAAACTGGGAACGTATTGTGGGCGGTACATACAACTTTGCATCACATTTGATAATTGCAAACTGCAAATACCAATCAGAACGACTGAAAAGTGGTTATGAGGACAATGTTTTGAACACCTGTTGACATCCCTGATTCATTACAAAACCAAAAACCAGAAGAAATTTAAAGAAAACCGAAAGACCGTAAAGTCACAAAACTTCATTAAACAAGCAAACCAAAAAAAAGCAGTGGTGGGATTATTGTGTGTATCCTTTGATAACACCAACAAGGCAGCACACAGTGGGGTCTGAAACCAATTACTGCAGCGTCGTTCCACACTCAGTCCAACAACAAGATCCACTGACCACAAAAGGTTCACAAAGCTCAAAAACAAAATGCAGCGTAAAGTATCTTCTTTATTAGAAATGTCCAGCGCACAGTTTAAATCCTGCCAGGATGCTTCAGCCAGAAATCTCCACATTTTCAATAAAACTTTTTACAGCACAAAATCAGAACTCCAATACAAAGACTGTAATATTACTATTAATACATTTTCTTTAGCAACAAACCTACAACCTAACAAGTTAAGTAATTAAATTTTTTGTAACTAAAAAGTATTGCGATCTTATTAATATTAAAACATTTTTTCTTGATCCATAATGCTTAGAGTTATATTTTATGAGGAACTCACCAGATCCTGCAGTCAGACACGTCTCAACCAGAGCCCATGGAGAGATGTCCACCCTTCAGAGTATCACTGCTCTGTTTGACAGGACCAGATGAATCAGCCTGTTAAATGCAAAGAGCCAGGAGAACAGGTTTGACAGCATCAGGACCGCCACTCCTTATGACCCCTGTTTCTTATGCGACACACACACACACGCCTTGATTTGATCTGAGGCTGGATTTTTTTTAGCAGCCGAAACCTAACTAGAAAGCTCATGAGAGAAAGATGTTGCGAAGGGAAACATTCCACTCCTTTCTAACAGGACTAACCAGGTCTACAGAGTACGACTGTCACAAGGCGCTGGTGACTTCAATTTTATGCTGCATGTTTACAAAGACTCAAACACTGAATCAGACCTCACTGTTCATTTAGCAGGTTACATTATGACGCTCATTTTTTGTACCTGTAGCTCTTATTGTCTGATGAGCATCCTTCAACACTCGTTACACAAAGAAATTAAACAACCGTGCAGCGATAGGTGGTTCATTCATACAGTTTACAATCTTCATACCACAGGAAACGAAACGATTTGTAACAATATGTTGTCCCCAAAACGTGCTTGATTTATAGATCTAGTTTTTTTGGGGGAAAAAAAACAATATGCATTTAATACTTGTGTTTAAGCAAGTAATTCATGACATCCTTTAATAACCTAGGTTTTCATGACATGCTGTTCATCTGCAGATAGAATGATTAAAGTCAGAACAAGATTTGCTAACATTTGGGGCAGCTGTGGCAGAGTGGTTAGGGGAGTCGTCCTGGAACCGGAAGGTCGCTGGTTCGATCCCCCGTCCAACTGTCTCAATCGTGTCCTTGGGCAAGACACTTCACCCACCTTGCCTACTGATGGAGGTCAGAGGGTCCGGTGGCGCCTGTGAATGGCAGCCTCACCTCTGTTAGTGTGCCCCAGGGCAGCTGTGGCTACAGTGTAGCTTACCATCATCAGTGTGTATGTGAGTGTGAATGGGTGAATGTCTGTTAGTGTAAAGCGCTTTGGGGTCCGGAAGGACTTGACAAGCGCTCTATAAGATCAGTACCAGTACCAGCAACAGTCATTCTTAGATATCACTTGGGTTTATCTTTGTGTTTTCCATTGACCTTGTATCAAATCTTGCTAAGATGGCAGAATGGTGTTTGTTTATACATGTATGAGGCCTCTCAACAGTGTACAACAGTAGTGTGGAGAGACAGAACACAGAGAGAAGCAGAGGCACAGAGACAGGCCAGGCTGTTCTGCGTTTCTTGCGGTTGCAATAAAACTCAGCTGATCATCCCACGGAGTACCTTCATTCTTGGACCACGTATTTCTGTCTTTGTTAAATAAATATTTACCATAACAGTTGGCGTTGTCGCAGTGACCACTAGGAGATCGATGGACCAAGGCCACATTGCAGGTCGACTGTATGAGTGAGCACAGTGAAGTTGAAGAAGCCTCCGACTGAAGACACTTTGTCTTTCTATGACAGTCTGATGAAGAGGATGGT